GCGAATATTGTTTTTTGCTGATGTTATAAAGATTAGCATTTCATTTGTAACCTCTGTTTTAGTTATTCCCCATTCAGTAACCCTCTCTAGGTTACAGCAATATGTTAATTAGGTTGTGTCTGTCAGTATGTATTTTTTATTGACTTTCGAATTACGTCCCTCAGGCGAAGTCAACTCCTTTACATGGCCTACGAGCTAGGGTCATGTTCTATATCATTCTGCCCTGTTCCTACTCTCAGTTATTTTTTATTTTTATTTATTTATTTGTTTGTTTTTTGTAATGAGAGAAGCCTCGTCCTGAACAGTCTAACCTTGCGACAGTAATACCCTCATTCTATTAAAGAGAGTGGGATTCGGACGTGATATTAGTTGCGTGGGTCTTGACAGTTTTTGTCAAGGTTCCATATGTACATAGGTGGGTCACCTACGTGAAACAGGCAATGTTTCCTATCTTACCACACATCGAAATCGGCCTTTTTCAAGTATCACAATTTCACACGTGAATTTGTTGCGTCTTTTTCTTTAAGTTATCAACCCAGAAAAATTTATTTGATAATAACTCATTAAAGAGGAAAGTATTCAATATCGTATGTCCCCAAAAAATAAATAAAAAATATCCATATATATATATATATATATATATATATATATCAAGATGACTTGATAAGACACCAGGGGTGTTGAAACAAAATGGCTATTTTTGTAGTGATTTTATAACATATTTGTCATAATTTTTTTTTAAATAATTATATATATATATATATATATATAGGATGCAACAAAAATACTTTGGGATGGGTCCCACACACCAAAACAAGCACAAAAGTCCATATAAGCATATGTCCTCAAATACTTCGTTTTTAAATTATTAAGTTTAAAGACAGTTTACTGTAGATGGCGCAGTGTTGCCGTGTAGATTAGGTTATATTTGTCATTTTTTTAGATTTGTGGTTAATGTGTCTTCATCGTTCAACGTGTGTATTAGTGAGATAACTGAGAATTGTTCCGTTCAACAATGGCAAGATATTCATATTGTGCGCAAGTAGATGTGATTTTTACATACGGCTGAGTGAGTGGTAATGGGCGCGAGGCTGCACGGCTGTATCACATTGCGTCCCCAGACCGAAGGGAGCCGGAGTCGTCGAACATTGCTGCTGTTTATTGTCGCGTTGCTGGGACAGGATCCGTGACACTACAAAGTGAGGAAGACCGAAATATGAGTAACGGAAAGGATCCAACAAATGCTGAAAAACAGAAAATAACAAGTGTCCACATTGGAGATATCAAAGGCGATTCGCAGAAATCATTGAACGATAAAGAGACCTATTGAAAATATAACTAAATTCAGAACTAGAAGCTAATTAAGTCTTTAAAAATTTGTCTCCTCGAGTTATAGCGAAACAACCACCAGCGCGAGATGTTTGTTAAAGCAAGAATTGAGGGAGTCGGAAAAGACAAAAGGTGTAGAATACTTCTAAAATTGGGATTTGTCAGGAAATTTTCTAGTCAAACTCCTCTCAGTAAAGTAAATATTTTAAAGCGTCAAAACTGGGCCAAGAAATTCAAGAAAATTGACACTTTTAAAGTAATGATGGAAGGATCTCGGGTGGTACTAGATGGGCCTCATGCATGGGTCAATGGCTGAATTTTATCAGATGCAGATATGTGCTTAAATGATGCTAGCAAGAAGATGGTTGTGTTGCAATATGCATTGGAATTGCCGGCCAAACAATTATGAGGCCTTTCATAGTTAAACTGAACAGTGCTAATTATTGCGCTTTCATGGACAATATTTTCTTTGAATTGCGCAACTTCCATCCTTGCAGTTTCAAAGTCAAATGCGTATATATGCAAGACAATGCTCATTCTTATGTATTTAAGGCTACCGTGAAATGCAGATGAAATTATATGAAAGTGGCAAACAATGACAGAAGAGTAGACCTATGGGAAACAATTAAAACAACATGTCGGAAATTGAATCTGCTGAAATAAAACATTTAACAAAATCAATAGATTACTGTCTGTTATTAAGGAAGGTCACTATATTAAAATATAAATGCTTCAAAGACTTATATGTTTGCTATTTATTTTATTATAAGTGTTGATCAATTGTTGATGGTTTTATCACTTTGTTATTGAAGTAAAAAGTGTTTTTCTGGTTTTGCATCAATCCAAACTGCGCTTTTTATCCAATAACTTTAATAAATATACTAAAAATAACTAAAAAAATTAACTCCAGCTTTATTTTGTAGTATAAATTAATTGTTTAAAATTTGACAAAATATTTTTCAAAGCAAATTTGTGTTAATGAGGTAGGTGATTTGTGTAATAACTTCAGACGGACTATAGGATGGTAGACTAAAATACATAGTTTAAGATAAAAAAAATATGGTCATCTATTTCAAATACGGGTATCTAATAAAAAATGAAACGTTTGAGCTCGTATATATATATATATATATATATATATATATATATATATATATATATATATATATATGTGTGTGTGTGTGTGTGTGTGTGTGTGTGTTGATGTAATAAGAAAGAACAGTTAGATTAATGGTCCAAAGTTCTTTAGTATTTATGTTTTTATCTATAAAAAACAGTGCAGAGAAATTATTGTTTCGAAACTGAAACTCCTAAAGTTTAATTTCAAAGTTAAACTTTCTCGAGCGATCTTTAGAATAACTGACCGAAGAAATGTTTTACTCATTTTTAGGTTTTAGAAATGGAGGTATAATCTGGTGTTTCTCTTTCATTATCAAGGAGTCTCTGATGAAAGTAGGAATGTTTATTACATGTCAGATTTTTGGCGTCGTGTAAGGTTGAGTTGTGGGATTTTTGTCTGTCTACAATGTCTTTTTGTACCAGGTTCTAACCATCACCGAAAAAAAAAAAAAACAAATAAATAAACACCAAAAAACTATAACTAGAAAATCAATCAGTAAGAGTTTTAACTGATAGTAATAAAAACAACAGAGCCTGATAGTTATTCTAAACATCGCTTGAGAATGAAAATGTGCTCTAAATTTTAAATTTTAACTTTGAAATTAAACTTTAGAACTTGAGTTTCAGTTTCGAAACATAGTAATATCTGTGTAGCGATGGAATTATATTTAAAAATAAATATACTATATATATATATATATATATATATATATATATATATTTTACCAATAAATACACACACACACACACACATATATATATATATATATATATATATATATATATATATATATATATATATATATAAACGTTTCTTTTTATTAGATACCCGCATTTGAAATAGATGCGAGTTTTTAAACAAGGAGGCTAGGTGTAGTGTAGTACGCTGCTTTTGTGAGCTTCCGAGTCGGCGTCTGTCGAACTCTCTGCATTAGCAGAGAGGAACCCGGACGAAGCTTTGCCGAAGGGCAAGGTTTCGTTCGGGGAGGTAGACAGGGCCTGAACCCGTCTAGGCGGGTTCAAAAAGGCTATATTTTTTGGCCGAACCTACGGGCTCGGAGATACCCACATTAAACCAGCCTTGTGCCACATTCTATCCTCGTGGGTGGATCGATAAATACTGAGTTTTTAAACAATGCGTTTTAGTCTATCATCCTTGAGAAATATTGATAAAGAAAGTGAGTCTTCCGCCTGGGCTCGAACCTGCCTACCACTTTTTGTAGGAGGGAAACCCTGTGTAATACGCACAGCTTAAAATTTTTTAAAATGGGGCGTCCATGTCAAATAAAAGGTATCCACTAAAGATAGCGTTTGGTACACGTGTCAGATTGTTGGTGGATCCATTAATTCTTTAGAAATATATATATATATATATATATATATATATATATATATATATATATATATATATATATATATATATATATATATATATATATATGTGTGTGTGTGTGTGTGTGTGTGTGTGTGTGTGTGTGTGTGTGTGTGTGCGTGCGTTTAAAATACGTCCCCAAAACTGATCAAATGAACAAGCATCAGGTATTCTTGGCTTGAACGAGAAATTATAATACATTTTTTTTTTAATTTATATTTTTAAGTACGAAGTCTATTTTATAATTCAAATGTTGGGTCAAAGGTTATTTTACTTGTCTCCTTCGTCTTTCTTTGATTCTTTTTTTGCATTCAAATATTTTTCCCTTTGTGTCTTTATTCCGCTTCCTTCATTATTTTTATCATCTTTTTTTTTTTAAATTTACAACTCTCTTTCTCTTTTCTCTAATTGCATTCTTTAATACATTTGTACCCACTGAGAAGGGATCGATGATATATCTTACGAGAAATTTCTTTATCCTTGGAATTCTTACCCTGGTAGTTAATCGAGGAGTGACTTGAGATAATATATAAACGGTGTTGATAGCAGTAAAATCCATGCTTATAATAATTCACCGATATGACGTCACAAAAATGCTATCTTGGTCCCAAATAATTCATTTTCTTTTAATTTTTATTCAAATAAACTGTGAACGTTTTTCCTTCCTTTCTTTATAACGATTCTTCTGTTTCTCTTTCTTTCTTCGTTCTCTCTTTCTTCGTTCTCTCTTTCTTTCTCTTTTTGTTCTTTATTTCTCTCATTTTTCTTTTTCACCCTGTCTTCCTTATTCTATTTCTTACGTTTTCTTCCTTTTCTTTTTAACTGTTTTCCTTCCCTATTGCTTTTTCTATATTTATTTTCTCTTAAATTTTCGCCTTTTCATTTACGTTCTCTCTTTTTCTTATTTTTTGTCTTTATTTTTCTTTCCCCTTACATTTTCTCCCCTTAGTTCTCTTATTTAATTTTCTTTCTACATTATTTGACAATTTAAACATTTCTTTTTTTTTTGTTTACTTTTGATTTTCTAATATTCCTTTAATTTCCCTTTCCCTTTCGCTTTTATTTTTGCTTACTTGCTTTTTCCTTTATTCTGATTCTCTCATTTTGTTTATTTGTCTCTTTCCACTTTCTTTATTTCTTTCTTAAATTCTCTCTTTTTCTTTTGTTTGTTTTCGCTTTTATGTTGTCTTTTTCTATTTCACTTTCCGACTTGCATTCTCTTTCTTTCTTTCTTTCTTCGGTGGCTTTCCCGCTTTCTCTTTGCGTCCATGTCTTCTTTCTTTCTTTAGTCTCTTCTCCCTTTTAAATCTCTTTTTTTTTCTAACGTTATCTTTTACTTTCTCTCTTTCTCTCTTGTACTCTATCTTTCTTTTCATCATTATTCTCTCCTTATTCGGCCACATCTGATTAGTGTTTTTTTTCCTTCCCTTCTGTCGTCCCTTCTATTGTTTTTGTATCTTTATACAATTTTCCATCTTAATTTCTTTTGTTGCTTTCATATTCTTTTTTCTTTCTTTAATTTTCACACCAGTTCTACTTCCTTCCCTTTATATTTTAGTATTTTCTCGACTATTTCATTTCTAAATGGGAAAATCTAACAAGCATAATACGTTTGTTTTATTTTTCAAATTTTTCATGCTATAACTTTTGTTCCAGATTCCAAATGAACACAATGAATACATATCTATCTATCTATCTATCTATCTATCTATCTATCTATCTATCTCTGTTCATATCTATCTATCTATCTATCTATCTATCTATCTATCTATCTATCTATCTCACTCTGTTCATATCTATCTATCTCCCTCTGTTCATATCTATCTATCTATCTATCTATCTATCTATCTATCTATCTATCTATCTCACTCTTTTCATATCTATCTATCTCACTCTGTTCATATCTATCTATCTATCTCACTCTGTTCATATCTATCTATCTATCTATCTATCTATCTATCTATCTATCTATCTCACTCTGTTCATATCTATCTATCTCACTCTGTTCATATCTATCTATCTATCTATCTATCTATCTATCTCACTCTTTCATATCTATCTATCTCACTCTGTTCATATCTATCTATCTATCTCACTCTGTTCATATCTATCTATCTATCTATCTCCTCTGTTCATATCTATCTATCTATCTCACTCTGTTCATATCTATCTATCTATCTATCTCACTCTGTTCATATCTATCTATCCCACTCTGTTCATATCTATCTATCTATCTATCTATCTATCTATCTATCTTTGTTCATATTTATCTATCTCACTCTGTTCATATCTATCTATCTATCTATCTATCTATCTATCTCACTCTTTTCATATCTATCTATCTCACTCTGTTCATATCTATCTATCTATCTCACTCTGTTCATATCTATCTATCTATCTATCTCACTCTGTTCATATCTATCTATCTATCTCACTCTGTTCATATCTATCTATCTATCTATCTCACTCTGTTCATATCTATCTATCTCACTCTGTTCATATCTATCTATCTATCTACCTATCTATCTATCTATCTATCTCACTCTGTTCATTATCTATCTATCTATCTATCTTTTTCTCTTCTAACCTCTTAATTTTTTACTCGTCCCTCTTCTCTTGCTTATTTGAATCTTCCATACTCGCTTCTTATCTATTTCTTTCGATTGAGCCCCCAAAAACCCCTATCTTTTTCTTTCCTTTTATCACACGCTCCTTTCCACTTATTTTTTCCTTCATCCCTTCCTGATAGAAAAGTTCCCTCCTTTTTACGTCATTCGAACCAAACACACCGGAAGGATATGACTTCTGCCTTTTACAATACCTGCTGACATTTCCTTGACAGTTTCTAGTTTTTAATGACATGTTCTCTATGTTACAGGGCTTTATTTTTATTTTTTTTTATTTTTTTTTATCGAAAGGAAATTTTCATTTTGAAGGGACCCTATCTCCCGCATTTTCTAACAAAGTTCACTTCTACTAATGAGATCTTTTAAACAAAAGAATTATTCTACTTTGTTCAGATTGTTTTTCTATAACCATATTTTCGTAACGGCTAACATTCCTAATTAATCACAAACAAGTCAAAACTCTTGACCATTTAAAATTGCGTGTTTAAATTTAAAGAAACTTGCATAAAATTTATAACTCCTTAACAGACTTAGCGAATACCGAGAAATATGTTTGGTGGAAATCAATATCGAATGCGTTGGATTTTCCAATCAGTTATTTTTCAACACTTATTACTTTGTTTATTAATTGGACTTACATTTATTCTAACATTCCTTTTATTTAATTCGGCTTCTAACACGTTTCTATTCGTTACAATTAATTTATCAATAATGTCCTTATTTTGCTGATCTGCACACTTAAATGTGATCTATATTGTTCTATCTCATTCGTCAGGTTTATACTAGAGTCCATAGGTAAACATTTGTCAGGATTATAATTAAGTCTATAGATAAATATTGATCAGTTATATAATGTTTTGTAAGGTTCTACCACAAATATTCCTGAAGAAGGCCGAAGAATATATTGCTCTAAACCTTATATGAACAGGAAAGTACATTTTAGTCTAAAAAATGATTAGATAATATTGAACTGATTTTCTTTACGGTTTATCAACACTTTATGGGTTATTTAAAGCGGAAAATTATGAACGGTAAGTATATTCTTTGTGACGGAGTATTGCATTTTTTTTTTTTTTTTTTTGGCGGAAGAGTAATAATGAACTTTCCAGATACAAGTTACACTATTTAACCTTTGACTGGGGGAGAGAAGAGACAGATTCATACCTTTTACAAGGATGTTTGCTCGTAAGTGAATGTAACTAACTCAACTAGAATTTGAACTCGGCTCTCCGCGTTCTCATTTCGAGCCGTTATCCATTACACCACAAGAGACACCATTTGCTTCATATATAAAGAGAGTAGCCGAAAATGTTTCTCCTGATATCAACTTTATAATACTTACTTTATATCACTCATACTTCATCAATATTTTATTTATATCACTCATACGTCATTCATGCTTTCTTTATATCACTCATATGTCATTCATACTTTCTTTATATCACTCATACGTCATTCATAGTTTCTTTATATCACTCATACGTCATTCATGCTTTCTTTATATCACTCATACATCATTCATACTTTCTTTATATCACTCATATGTCATTCATACTTTCTTTATATCACTCATACGTCATTCATGCTTTCTTTATATCACTCATACGTCATTCATACTTTCTTTATATCACTCATACGTCATTCATATTTTCTTTATATCACTCATATGTCATTCATACTTTCTTTATATCACTCATACGTCATTCATGCTTTCTTTATATCACTCATACATCATTCATACTTTATTTATATCACTCATACGTCATTCATACTTTCTTTATATCACTCATACATCCTGCGATGGTGAAATGATCATGACTTTTTTTGTTGTTTTTTATCTTCATCAACGATTTTCCGAATGTCATTGGTTCGTGTCTCGGTATTTATGCAGGTGACACAAGTATTTACTCCTGTCTTAATAGTGCGTCTGATAATCCGCTAAAAAATGACTTCCAATTATTTGTTAACTGGAATAAGAAATGGATTGTAAATTTTAACGCCTTCAAAACGAAACTATCGTTTAATCATCATAGGGAACCATTTTTCCTTCCATAAGTATGAGTAGCTTAAAAACACATTACGCCTTCTTGCTTTCACGTTTTTCACTGACATGGAACGCTTATATTCAATCAATCTCTATGTCTCCTGCTAAGAATGGTGGTTCACTTATGCTAGATAATCTTTCTCAGCAGAATCTATTTTGCACATTTATAAATCTACCATTCGTCCGTGTCTTGAATATTGTTATATCTGGTCTGGTGCTACTGTACAGTATCTAAAGATTCTCGACAAAATCCAAAGACTCCTGACCCGTCATCTCAACTTCATTTACTTTTGCACCGCTGTGACATGGTTTCCCTATATCTTTTCTATAAATACTTTCATGGGCATTCTTCTAATGAGCTCTCATACTTGGTACGTGTACAACATGAATTTAAGCGTACTACTAGAATTGCAACATCATTTTACTGTTTAAATAGATAGATTTAAACGTAAGTTATATTCTAGTAGTTTCTTTTCTCGCATTTCTCGCCTGTGGAACCCTCTTCCGGGTTTTTTGCTTCCTTGCTACTTACAAACTTCAAAACTTTAAATGCGACATCATTTGATATATTCTGTCTTTCTGAATCCTGTCCTTTTATTTCTCTTTCTGTCTTATAATACTCTTTTACTCTCAGTAACCCCGGGCGCCTTCATGGCTTTATCGCCTTGTATGAGGTGATATAATAAAAAAAGATTTTCTAAATGACATGCAGCTGTACTTGCCGAATATGTTAACGCAAAGTATATATTCATTTGGTTAAGTTCTCAGTATCTAAACAAGGCTTATTTTTCGGTCTTAGCTGAAGTTGTTGTAAATGGCATTGACGCATTAGCGCACCATAATTATAAGTTATACATTTTTCGAGCAAAATAAAAATCAGTATTAGTCTTGTCTAAGTAACGGGGCATCAAGCCCCAGCATATTTTTCCTGTGATTGTATTTCTAAGCAAGGTTTATTCCTTTTCTCCACCCACCAATGTCAAAACTCCATCAATCAAAACTTAGTAGTTTCACTAAACCTTACGCACAATCAAAAGGACATGATATAGTTTCATTCTGTATTGCAAACACATTATAATATCGGGTTCTTAATGCTAAGTGTCTCGAGTGTATCGGTGAAAGCCGACATTGGCATCATGGCAAATTGAGAATGGCGGTAAAGTAACGGCGAGTCAATTGATCGCAGTGGCGGGAAAAGAAAAAAAAGGGTAAAACAGAAGAAAACGTGAAGAAAAAACTGGTTTGGGAGTTGGTGGAGTAATCGTGATGGCGGTGAAATAATGGTGGTGTGGGTGACAGTTAAGTGGAGGGAAAATGAAATTGATAGGGTCGGAGTTCACGGGACCGTTTCGTAAGATGGAGAACTGCAGAACGTACGTCAACCATTTCGGTTTTTCTTTCGTTTCCTTTCGTTTCACCACAACCAGCATCCCCCGACTCCCTATCTTGTGTTCTCTAATTTTGGATTTGGTAGAGAGCCTTAACTTTTTACTCCACAAGAGCCAGAATCTCGATTAGTCAAATAAAGAAAAGAAAAGAAAAGAAAAGAAAGAAAGAAAATAAAGGATAACTTTCCACTTCCCTGTTTCGCGGTCTTTGTTTGAGAAAGAAATAAGAGCGAGAAAAACCAAAACCTCTTGTTTTTTGGGGGGGGTTTTTGTTCTTTTTTTTATAAAAGTACGGAAAAGAATGATATGAAGATACAAGGCGATACGTTTTAAAGGTGAAATACAACCTGAGGTATCCTTAATATCTAGGTTTCACGCTGTAAAGTTTCGCATTAGTTTAACATTTTTTCATTTTTTAACCTTTCCTGTTGTTTTTTCCTTCGTCTTTTTTTTTCTTTTGCTTTTATAAAATCTTAGTTCCGTATAGAAACTAATTTCCAACAGAAAAACCAACACTATTCCTGTCTTCCAATTTTTTCATAATAGGATTTTATCCTGTTTATATTCAGGTGTAACAGATCAACATCATCTACCAAATGTTCCAAAAAATAAGACACAAGATAAAAACCCTTCCAAAGCAGAAAGTATGATCTAGAATTGAAATGAAATCAGCAATAGCGTAAACTCTGAACTTATTCAAGGCGTGCAATTAGTAAATATCACATACTTCAAATAAATCGAAGTGTGGTTCAGTTATAACAAATTTAGTATAGGAGATAAAGAAATTGAGCATAGAATAGGCTGCATTAAAAGTAGCTTCGATCAGCCCTGCGAATTGTACATTAACATAAAATCTTGAATCATGTTCTTAAATAAAGCGTTAAAAAGAAGAAAGAATTAGAAATATAGATATGAAAAGAACGATACAAAGAGGATGGGAAAAAAAGAGAAGAAAGGAAAAAAAGAGAAGAAAGGAAAAAAATCAATAATATTGACAGGAAAAGAAAACGAGGAAAAATGAAATTAAAAAGAACGGTGAGAAAAGTTAAAAACAAAAAGAAAGCATTAGAAATTAATAATAAAAATAATAAATTCGATAGAAATATACACATAATATTGCCTACCAAATCTATAACATCTAATATTCAAAATAATACATCCAATCTTAATATTAAATTAATTGCCATAACATCTAAAGGAATTATGTAAATGATCAGATTAAAAAATAACTATATTAACAGTAATTCTGACGCAGACATATATAAGATAAATTGTAAACATTGTTCCTTAAAATATATTGGTGAAAATTTCAGAAAGTAAAATATGTATCTATGAACATAAGAAAGATTTACATAATAACTAGCAGCATGGTCCGGCGTTGCCCGTGCTTGATTCAAAGATCGTACGACTCATACAGCAATCGCTATCACTTGACTTAAAATATTTTTGCCCTTCCTTGCCTTTAAAGGAGTGCCCTTTGCCGTGCTGATGTTGCTACATGCCTTACTTCTTGCCTATCTCACACTGCGAATTTTTTCTAAGCTCTATACTAAACATTAAATCTGTTACGAAAAAAAGTACTAAACAAAATGAACACAAAACGATCAGCTTTAAAAAAGGACTCGTAACTGGAAAAACCGGATGAAAAAAAGAATGTTAACAACAAATACTTTTTAACACCGAACAC